CTCTGAAACTCAGTTTCGTAAATAGTTTTGCCACGCGTCTATTTTCGTAAATTGTTTTTCAATTAGGCTCAATTTCGTAAAAAATCCCTATAGTCACCTTATAATGCTTGGACGAGGTCAAATTTAATATTTATTGTGTTCACCACTTCTGCATGTTTCTAAGAATAATAATCTTTGTAAATATTAAGAATAAAATCCTAATTGATATACTTTTTATCTATATGTGCAATTAAAAAAGTAATACTAGTGTATCTTGAATTCTTGACAATTGATCAATATATGTCGCCTTGTCACCTTAAATAGAATTATTTGTATAATAATCTATTATTATTATAGTTTATAGTAGTATCAAATGGATAATACAACATACAGTCAACTATAGTATCATACAAACATGAATGTTTGAATCACGGAGCATGATAACCTAGTATGCATGCTTCTTAACACGTTAATTATACGCCATGAAAATAAGTTGTTAAAACATCACTTTAGCATTATATTAGTTAAATAATTAATAATAGGAGCCAAAGTATCATTCATTTTCATTAACTTAACTTTAAATGAAAATAATAAGCATCTTTATTTTGTGGTACAATGCTGACTAGGTGGACTACCAACAGTGGCTGAGCTTTCTCCTGGGAGTTGATAGCAATTTAAATTTTCATTGGCCCATTAATTAGCGCCATTATATAATTACTTTATTAATTAGCTCCCTTCCCAAAACATTTGCGCAAATGCTTGGCATACATCATTCTGAAATAATTGAAATTTTATGCCAACTTTATTAGGAGAGATTAAGAAATTGTTATTGTTGAGAGAGAGAGTAAAAAATCTGAGCAAGAAGCCAAGAAAAATGAGAAAACCTAGAATTACTTTGGGGAGAGGGGGTTTATATAAGGCAATTACATGTGAAATCTAGCCAACCATGAGAACGGAGTTTATTATACTCCGTATATTATTAGGTTAGATACAGTCACATCACATATGCTCGCTAACTTTACGTCTTTTATATAGAGAATCACTCTTTGTTTATAATGAGAAAGGAAAAGTATAAGTTTTGTATCGTAAGTATATACATAACTACTTAATTACTATGTGTAAACTCTTTTTTAAATTTGTTTCAAATCATCTAGTATTAAACTTAGGTCCCGTTTACTTTACTTTAAAAAAATAATATTAAGTAAAAATAATTTCAGTTCAGTAAAAATAAGTTCAGTTCAGTAAAAATAATTTCAGTTCAATAAAAATAAGTTTAGTTTAGTTTAGTAACCATAAAGAAGAAATATAATAGAAAATCAGTAAAAATAATTTCAGTTCAAGAAAAATAATTTCATTTTAGTAAAATTAATTTCAGTTCAACAAAAATAATTTCATTTTAGTAAAATTAATTTCAGTTCAGTAAAAATAATTTCAGTTCAACAAAAATAATTTCAGTTCAATAAAAATAATTTCAGTTCAACAAAAATAATATGAAGTGAACGGACCCTTACTCTTTATCCAGAGGTTGATCAAAGTTCATATTGCTTCTATAAACACATATAATAAGTTTATTTATTTTTTTCCAAAATTGTTCTTGCGGCTACACTCAAAACACATACAATACACAATGTATAATCTATTTTTCTCGACGAGAATAAAAGAAGAAAATTAATCACCCTCATATTAATTATGATTAAGGGAGAGCAATTACCCCATTTTACAATATATAATAATACCGTTACAAGCTCATCATCCACCACTATGAACTAATTATAAACTAAAGTATGGCAAAGTACAATTAAACCTTAAAACTAGATTTGTTTTGGTTTGTTTTTTTTTTTTTTTTTCTTATGCAAAAGATCGAGGGACAAAGCCCAAATAAACAAACAACACCTGCACCACCAATCGTGGCAAAGCCACCCCAACCAGTTTTGCAAGTCCACTAGATTTGTTGAATACGTACAATTTCATTATATTACTTGTATAATATTATCACTCACACTTTATGTTAGTCCACCAGCAGTTGAAATTTGAAACAAAATCAATTGAAGGCCATAATAATATTAATTGGTAGGTGAAATACTGCTAAAAAATTGCAATTGTGTCAACCCAAAAGATATGCCTTTTTGAATGCTTTATCAATTAAAAATAAACAGTGACCATGTGATCAACCGAATGAGATTGGGATGGCTCCAAAATCCCAAACTTCAAACAATTATTACTCTTCTTTTTCTTTATCATTTTCACTCAAAGAAAATTAAAATCATTTAGAAAAGACCAAAAAAAAGAAGCCATTATCTGCGTAATTAATTAATTACCCCTTTGGCCTTAATTAACTTTCACTTTCCTCTTTAATGTATGATTTTTATTTTTTATTACAAAAAGTATGGTAGATGTTGTGTATTAATTTCAGGTTTTAAGTTTGCTCACATGCAAAAAGACTTTAAATAAAAAGACAAAAATTCAAAAACAATTGCATCGTACTAAATGATCAACTAACTATATGTTGAGACATTCAATAGCAAGATACAAATAAATAACATTTTATTAGGAAAAAGGGAAAAAAAAGGACATGAAATTGATCGATTGGAGATATTTGTGAATAGAAAATTTTAGAATAGTGCTATCCACATGCTAAAAACTTTATTTCTCTCATTTATTTGTTTATTTATGTATAAATTTTCCCATTTTTCTCTCAATATGTTACCGATGATTTTATTTCATTTTTTGATTTAAATATACCAATGATTGATACATAGTACAATTAATTAGTTGAAATAATAATTACTAAAAAGAAATACATTAAATGAGAAATAATATGCCATATTAACGTGATACGTATAATGAGAAGACCGGAGACCCATTAGGTGATTTGTGAAGAAAACTTTTAGTACAAAGTTCATAAATACGTAGTGTGAACAACTCAACAACAAAAGAATATCAAATTTATTTGTAAGAAAAAAGGAAAAAAAAAAAAACAGAAGAAATGATCAAGGTTAAGCCAAAATTGTAGTTTTAGATGCTTTATTATTATTATAGATTCATTTTAATATATAGTCTATATATATTTTAATTTCAAAAGTAAAACAATTTTCTTCGTATTGTTGTAAAATTATCATAGTTTCGAAATAAGATGGGAACCACAAATTAAAAACATATCAAAATCCAACCAATTATTAGTCATTAGCTCCGAATCTCCGATCCATTCTAATAAAAATCAACTGTCAATAAGTTTGTCCTTGCACACTAACCCCAGCACGTTTCACAAAAATTAATAAGAATAATTATGTCCTTGAAATTACATAATTTCATGGGGATTGACCTTACTTCCATCCCTCGTGTTAATAAGAAGCTTGTCAAGCTTTCGCATTCGTAGGAAATGTGCCTAATGTGGTGCAGTAATACAAAATTAATCAATCAATTAATTAAATATTTAATTAAATTATTGATTTATTGACAATTATCAAAATGAAATGACTGGTATATTGACTTAGTGAGTGAGTGCCAGTGGCATGCATTGAGTAGGAACGGAAGCATGGGAATAAATAGAAGGTACGCATATACTCTCTCAAGTCTCAAGTTGCCCTGCTTAGCTGTTGGCCTTAAGATTTCCTACTAGAATATAAAATTCTGTTTCCCTAGAATAAAAGGCACCTAAATTCTGTTGAGAAACAGAAATACAAAATCCACTCCACTCATTTTAATTCTCAATTATTATATTACAAAACAAAAAAATAAAGTTGAGGAATATATAATGGGATAATATCCTCCTTTTTCCTATTGCAAAATACTCTAGTACTTCTTGATTCCTCACGCAATTTTTTATTTTCAATTTCCATTTTACATGTTATTCAAGGCACGTGTTTGATTATCGATGATTTTAGTCATTTTAAAGATTAAGAGTAATGATAATGAAAATTTTGCATTCAAATGAATCTAATTAAATGCATTAATTGTACATGATAAATTATTTGAATTAATTAAAGTGTTATACAAAATGAGTTTGACTATATAACAAAATACATACTCCATACTATATATTGTAGAAGAATTTTAAGAAACAGAGATAGTACGGTGTAATAGACAATATACTGTTGAATTATTAACGACTTGCAATAGCATAACTGCACAAACGAATTAAAATGTTTTACCAACTATTTAATTAAAACGCAGTGTACTCGTTCATTAGCTTTTTACTCCATTCAGCTAGATTGATTCATTAATAATCTTCAGTATAAATGGTTCAAAAAACTTACTAATTGTAATCAATAACCAATATAGCTAATGTTAGTACGATGACATTATAGTAGGGAATAAATGAATGTATTAATATAGCACAGTCAATATAGATCCACCTATTATAAAATTTGGGAAAACCTTGATATATATAGTCATACCTAATAGTGAGAGTGTGAGTTTGTTGTTAATCAACAATCCTACATTTTATCATGTATCGGATGTATCACCGACCGAATACATCACACCTTAAATAACCTATTATCAAACTAGACTTTTTTTTTTTTTTTTTTTTTTCCTTTCTAGTCTTTAAATTTTTTTTTTTTCTTCATAATAGTGATAATACTTTGTAACTGTATTATTTTTCTTTGGTTTTCTCAAACCTTATGTTTGCAACTTTCTTGAATTTTATTCTTGATTTTCCTTTGATTCGCTTACTCACTTTACTTACCCTTTTTCAAACTCTTTTAAATGATGGTTTTGTTATGTCCGTTTCTTTATATCGTACGATTCCTTATGACGATTCATGTTAGCCGACCCCAAATCACTTTAAGAGTAAAGCTTTGTTGTTGTTGTATAATACTATGTAACTGTCTATTTACAAGGTAAATGAAAATCCATATACACTAAAGTATATGTATGATGAATAAAATATACCCGAAAACTTAATTTGATAAATAGTTTTACCACGAGTCTACTTTAAAAAATAATTTTGTAATGAAGCTTAAATTAGAAAAAAATCCTACATTACTCGTATAAAACAATAAAGCAATTATCAAACACTAGTAGTAGTACAAAAATTAGAACCACCCCTTTAAAATTTTCCTCCATGTCCAAATCCCCCCCAAACAACAAAACATTGAAAGAAGGCAAGTGCCCACCAACTGCAGCTGTCTCCAGCCCATCTCCCTCTCTCACTTTCTCTCTCCTCTCCAGTCTCCACCTGCTTCTATAAACCCACCTCCCTCACTTCACTCCTCTCATACCCTTTTCCTTTTCCCCCCTTTCTCCTTCTCTCTCCTCCAAATTCAAAATGTCAATCTTCTCTCTCCTCACTCTACTCCTCTTCATTTCATCTTCCTCAGCTCAACAAACATTTCGAACCCTCAACCTAAACCCAGAAATCATAAACCCTAGAATTTCCCCCCCTAAATCTCTCTCCTCCTACAAAAAATTCGAGGGTTCTTCCAATCTCGTCGACCTCAAATACCACATGGGTCCAGTTCTCTCCAATTCCCCCATTAACGTCTACATTATCTGGTATGGTAAGTGGGCCCATTCTCAACAATCCCTCATCAAAGACTTCCTTCACTCCATCTCTTCCTCTTCTTCCCCTCCTTCCTCCGCCAAGACTCAGACGGTGTCGGATTGGTGGAAAACGGTGTCGCTTTACACCGATCAAACCGGAGCAAACGTCTCCAGAAACCTCCTAATCGCCGGAGAATACTCCGACCACAAGTATTCCCAAGGCACCCATCTTACCAGACTATCCGTCCAGCAAGTCATAGCAAACGGGGTCAAAACGGCGCCGTTTCCAGTAGACCACAAGAACGGGATCTACCTCATATTAACTTCAGTAGATGTTACTATGCAAGATTTTTGCCGGGCAGTTTGTGGGTTTCACTACTTTACATTCCCATCGCTTGTCGGATACACCCTCCCATACGCGTGGATTGGGAATTCCGGCAAGCAGTGCCCGGAGGTTTGCGCTTACCCGTTTGCTCTGCCCGGGTATATGAGTGGCGGCGGCTTGGCTGCGCTCAAGCCGCCGAACAATGACGTTGGCATTGATGGTATGATTAGTGTGATTGGGCATGAGTTAGCGGAGTTGTCATCGAATCCGTTGATTAATGCGTGGTATGCTGGTGAAGATCCAACTGCTCCGACCGAGATCGGGGATCTTTGTGAAGGGTTGTATGGTACCGGTGGAGGTGGCGGGTATACGGGTCAAGTAATGAGGGATAGAAGTGGTAAGACGTTTAATATGTTTGGGAAGAATGGAAGGAAGTTTTTGGTTCAGTGGATTTGGAGCCCTGTTTTGAAAGCTTGTGCTGGTCCAAATGCCATGGATTAATCATATAGTTAATCATATATTCATATCTTATGATTATGATTAGGATATTATTATGGTGATTAGTTTTGTAGTATAAGATTTTTTGGGTTTTGAGTTAGGTGTTTTTTCTTTTTACCATGTATATTAGAGTTGTTATATGGTGAAATATTACTCGTATATTTTTACTATGAAGATCATGTAATTTTATGGATTGTCACCTATCATAGTTGTCAAGTTGTTATACATGATACATACTATGGGGCTAAGTGATTCTATCACTTGAGAAGGTGCCTTGGATTGGAGCAATTGGCCAAAGCTATCACTTAATCCGTGGGATAACTTTTAAGACGGGACCATTGAAGGATTGGATTCGATTTGAAATTCTTGGGATTTTTAAGATGAGAGGATTGGGTTCGATAGTCGATGTTTTGATTTCGGGTGTTTGCATGTATTCTATAAAGATTTTAGTGTAAATAATGAACGTGTTTTAATTTTTGGAGACATTGTTAGATTTGTTATGAATTTTTTTGATGCTTTAGAAAATGAGTCACTAGAATCTATATTTAGAAAATTAAGTATGGGAAAAAGGTACTCAATACGTAACAAAGACACATAACATAATACATTGTTATGAAACATGTCACACTCACACATATCAAATTGGTACAACTAATGTCCAGGTAGAAGATTGAAGGGATGGTGGAAATTTAAGCAATTACTACGTATATGCATTTATTGCTATGCTTATCATCTTTGAATGTTCATGCTATTAAAGGTCATTTACTCATTTCCAATGGCTACTATATTCACAATATATGTACTCTGTAAGCTCATAGAATGAACCTTAAAAGTGTGATAAGTTTAGTCAATTACTGAGTACACTTTTCATATCTAATAAGAGTAGTTAAATGCATTTGTGGGTGCGAAACTAGGCCAAATTACTTGTAAATGAAAGACTACACAATGTGATTACACAATTTGACCAAATATTTTTCGTTAGACAGATCAGCAGTCTACTAGACAAATACACAATGAGTTTCCCGGCTATATGCGTGGAAGACTGGAAGTTGGTGTGTTGTTAAAAGGATTAATTTGGACATAGACATCGAAAGCAAGCAAGGAAGCTAAGTTGGCTTCTGAGATTGATGAGGAAACACTGTTTTTTTTTTGGGACAAGAGTTTGAGCAAACTGATTTTGCTCTTTATTACGATCCTCATTCATTCATTCATCCATCAACATAACGCAGAGAAGTCAAAATCCATGTCAAATTATTGAAGACAAAGTCCAACCCTACGTCAGCATATATGTGCGAATGTATTGACTTAAGGTCCAAGGATATTTGACTTAAATTACATCAAAGCATTCACATATACAAGTACTTCTTTGGAAAATAAAGAATTCTTTCCATCCCACATTAGTTTTTTGAATTTATTAAAGGACCTTATTTTTCCTGAATAATTACGGAGTAACATTTTAGTCAGCTTATAGAGCCTAAATGCATTTAACTTTATTTTTTTTACTCTATTTGGACAAGGAAAGAAAATTGAGTAAGAATACTTGAAGTTGATAAGGGTATTCAATAACTTGTCAAAAGACAAAATAAACTGAATCAACAAAGCGTTACAAGTCTTACAACCTTACAAGAACTCTCCTTTGTCACTAAAAATTAGTCGCTTAATTAGCCTTCCAATGCTTTTAACGTAACTCCGTAGTAAATCGTATTCTATTGATTTATTAAATCGTATTCTATTGATTTATTGTAAAGCAAATCTACTCGAATTTAGCAAAAGAGAAGACTAAAATAGCAAAGTGAAAATTACACTTACCAAACGAAAGGATACAAATCATAACATTAGTTGAAATGTGATGATTAGTTTTCCAAACTTTATTCAATCGCTTTATGAAGATTGGACTTAACCTCTCATATCATAGACTAAAAGGGAGGGCACATAAATGACGGAGGAAACAGAACTTGGTAGCAGACAAATTGATTGTCCTTTGATTCCATGCTTTGTGATTTAGTGGCCTTAATATAATTGTTTTTTTTCCTTACAAATTTCTTGTTAAGGGCCTAGGAAATTATATGATCTACAGCTCATTCATGGGACCCAAAAGAGATGAAACAGAAGCACCTCCCCAAGATATTTATATCTTCTAATCTTTTGAGGCCATGCGGCCCATCCAATTGACCCACAGTAGTCAATTTGAATTTTTTTTCATTTTTTTAATAGGTAATATAAGAAGGTATTTTATCAGATTGAAATCTTACACGGGTTAATTTAACTTTAATAGCGAGAATTAAGATCTCTAATGTTGTTTAGGGGGAGGGTACAAAAATCTTAATTAATTTGAAAACAACTCTTGTACTCCATAGGTTAAGGCCACATTATCTAGATAGTTTAATAAAAAACAAAGGGTTATCCTTGAAAATTACAATTTAGTTTGACTGCTAAAGAGGGGGAAAAAAAAAATCCCAAAAACAATACTTACATCCCACTATTGAATTTCTCCGCTACTTTCTTGAGGAGAAGAAAGAGAAATAGATAATGAGATGGAATAAATTTATCAAGTGAATAAAATGTACCTAGTAGCTTACAATTTTTTGTCATGCAAGCTTAATGATTTTTTTTTTTGTCAATAAATAATCAAATCAGATCTCATCTTAAAATTTGTGTTTATATATATTGAACAAAATTTCTTATATTACTTTGTCAGTGTTAAATGCTAGTGCTAGACATTGCCTAGTTAAACAATGTCAAATGTGTAGTTGGGCTAAAAAGAAGTGCCAAGTTTCCACAATGTTAAAGTGTCAAATTCATCCCATTTTCATTTACATTTTATTAAGAGTTGTATATGTAAGGTTAAAAAGCAGAGATGATATGTGGGGATCATGATAGCCGAAATGAATTTGAAGCAATATGTTGGAGACAATACTCTCTTCAACCGCAGCGTATTTCGAATGCTTGAAGGCCCTGCCGACTCGATGTTTTTATTTAAGTGACTCGGTTTGACTTTAGCCTATATTTACATGCACCACTTTAGCTAGTGTTTGTGTTTTATATATAAGATCAAACATGATCACATTGTAAGAATTGCTTCTATACATTGTTTCTAACTATCAAAATTTTATAATTTATACTTATTGATAGGATTTTATTAGTCAAAATTATGCATTGACATGTGTACTGAACAACCTGAGGCGATGAGACACAAATAAAAACAAAGGGAGTACTAAAAAAGGGCGAAGAAAAAAGTATAAAAATAAACCAAGGCAACTGTCGAGATATTGAACAAGACATTGGGCCATTTCTCCTTTTGTAACCCATAATAAAGAAGTTGGGCCGTTTCTGTCAACCTTAACAAAGACGTAAGGAAAAACAGGCCACTTGGCTGGGGTGGGCGGCTGCACGAGCATCCACAGTACAAAAGATAGAGCCAGAGAAGTCTAGATCTCAACCAAATAAAACAAATATTTTAGTTTAGCTGACATTACTATCTTTCAAGAAGATTGCAGAAGATACTTGTACTGTTCTAGTTTAGATTATGCCACGTATTACTTCGACAGTAACTTTATGCCACGTGGTCGTTATGGCGGTGTAGTAGCTGCTTGTATAAAATGGGGGCAGTGAAGGTAGATTTTGTGATTGAAAATAGAGACGAAAACAATTGAACAAGTACAAAAAAAGAGAGGAATGGCAGATATAAAAGGATCATCAACTGCTGGTTGCAATGACAAGTGTGGTTGTCCTTCTCCTTGCCCTGGTGATGATACTTGCAGGTTATCTTACCCGCCTTCCCTTGTCATCCTTTAGTGCTTGTTTAGTTGATATAAAAAGTATATTGTGTTTAAATATCTTTCTTTGTCTTTTGAGGCAGTGACTAAATATGGTTTTATGGTGGGATAGGTGCACAACATCAGGAGGAGATATGGATCACAAGATATGTTCATGCGGGGAGCATTGTGGGTGCAACCCGTGCGCTTGTAGCAAGACGGAGGCAACGGGCACAGGCAAGGCTTCCTGCAAGTGTGGGAGCGGCTGCACTTGTTCAACATGCTCTGCTTGAGGAGAGGATGGAACACTTCAACATCAAGAGTCAACTTTTATGAGAGTCTTGTACTGTACCTTGTATATGTGTCCTGTATTGAGTATGACAGTTTGTTTGGGTATCTGAATAATAAAACTTCAATTTGGCAGGTTATTTCACTGGCTGTGATGTTCATGAGAATTACCAGTAGCATCACTTAATTCTGAATAGAATTGCATAATAAGATCATTTAAGAAATCTTTGATTCTGAATATATAAAATGACTTGATCCCAAAACAATACTAGCATCCTTAATTCGGGATGCAACTGCTTATGTCGCAGGTTTTCTGGTAAAACAGATATGTAAAGCTTCATTAGATTGGTTTTATTCAGATTGTACAATTAAGACAAGTAAAGATAGAAGTATGATAAAATAGAGCAGAAACTATATAAAGCAGAACTGATACAACATTGTCATATGTTATTAGACTTATTACTTCTGTTACAGGGAAATATAAAAAATTGTATCAGGGTATGAAATTTTTTGTAAATTGCAATATCCATTAGGCTAATTACAAGCTGAGGTATGGTACATAGACTTATGAGCTAACTACAGAGCTTAATTTTTCTTTTGCTGATGATTTTAACTGAACTACAAAGCATAACTAATGATCATACAGTTCATCTATCGTAACTCAACCAACTTTTCTCGTATATCCAAGAGAATATAACTTGATAACTTCTTACTCTATTTGGTATGTTATTGCATGCTCCTTCCAGGAGTCGTCCTCAAGGTACCGCTCATGGAAGCAAACTTCTCCACTGTCCTTCACAACCACAGCAGAAATGCTTCTGGTGCCATACCTTCCCTAAAAATTAATATAAATGTTTACATCATTTTGTCAAGGATTTAAGCATAAATTGATAAATGAAGAGGAGTGAAGAATGGGAATCACCTGTGGAGGATTGAAGTCAATGAAAATGGAACTTAGTTGATGCTCAAATTGGGGAGGGTAAATCCCTGGAAGTAAGCTTTTGTCTGCTTTTGTTGTATCCATCATCAGATTTTCGACCATTTCATGCACATGTACTTCACCTTCATTGTATGTGTCCATGAGCTCCTTAAAGTTATGGCGAAGTCGTTGAGCCTTACCACATTCCGCCAAAGTAGAAAGTAAGAACCAAAGTAATAGAATCAACTGATCAGGAAACAACTTGTTTTGCTAGATTTACAACAGAAAAAGGAAGGAAACAGAGAGAAACGAAAAGAATCAAGGGAGAATTGAAAAGGTTTTGAGCGGTAATTAAGCTACAAGAGGCAGATAAACTGACCTTAGGCCAAGGTGTATCTAAACTGCTATTGGTTAAAACATGAATGCCAGGTGAAACTTGCAAGGCAGCTGGTTTATTTTCTTTTGGTCTGTTGGTCACGTACACCATGGTTTTGGAGTGAAGATCTGCCAGTATCAAGTTAAATCCATTATACTGGTCAGACTCTTGTATTATCTCATCAGCAAATTCAGCAGGATCTTTCTTACACTGTTAAGAAATAAACTGAAAAGCGTCAACTTAAGCTGAGAACAAAGTGTAAAATTACTCACAGAAGCTGATGACAATTCGTAAAAAAATGCCAAATATAAGACTTTCAATCGTTAATACTGGTCCATTTCAGTTGCAAGAGACTGGAATTCATCTAATCATAAATCATTGAGAGGGTCAAACAACTCTACAGATAAGTTACTTACTAGCTGATATGTTGCTAATTAACAGATGGTGAACCGGCGAGATTCCTGCTAAAACCATCATCTCAGATTGAGAAATTACTAAGAATGACATAGGATCCAATGAAAGAAGCCACTACTTCAGAACAATACTTCTTCATGAGACATAGATATGGGTCTGAACTGCATGAAAGAGCCAAGGATTTTATGGTCAGGGAAGATGGAATGGTGTAGGGTATCTGTTATCATCTACATTCTACACAAATAACACATTCTTGATTTATGCACTTTTACAATTGCATCATCAACAAGATATTAGTAATTCGAAAGGCCAATGTACCTCAAATCAGCAAAATAAGATACTTTAGCTTATTTACATAGTTCTTGCACTCCCACACAGTTGGGGTAATCCATAAATGTCACCAATAAACTACAAAAGACAACCACAAAATACAAATTTACCATCCTAGATCATTTGTGATATAATCAGTTTGTATTTCCCTTACTTTATCCTATATTTCTGTGTATATGCTATTTCCTAGTCTTGTATTGTTAGGTTCACTTATTTGACTTATTTCCCAAGCCTATACATTTGTATATAATGTAACACGTTTCCGAAAGATCAATCAAGTTAGTTGAGGACATTTTCCTAAACTTTATCAAATATCACTCAAATTAAATTCAAGTCTAAAGAACCAAATTCCACCAAAAAGCATGAAAATATAATCTAGGAATCAAATGATAAGTAATTTGTTCAAGTAAGTAGCAGAAGCAAAAAGTGATTGATTGAAGTAGCAGAAGCAAAAAGTGACCCACCAAATAAAAAGAAGATTACCTTAAGAAAACGAACAGGCAAGTCACCTCTAGTCCTAGCAGAAGGAAGAGATTCGGTTTCTCTGAAATTAGTAAGAAAAGCTACCCTTCCATTTTTGGAACAAGCCAACCATGTCCCACCTCCAACCTCGTCTTTTCCGCCAATTATGTCTTCTCCTTCCCACCATCCTGCTGGTTTTGTTGGCCTTCCACATAAATTTTAATTAATTCAGATATGCCCACATCATAATTTGGCTCAAAAACATCAGATTAGGAGTATAAAGTTTTTAAAAATCAAAACTTTCAGTATACACACTTCATAATTTTGCATAAATCTTCAATATAAGAAAAGCAAGTAAGAAAAAAAAAAATCAAACTTTTAGACATAACCAGCTTATAATATTGATTAGAACATCAAATTTAGGAGAAAAAAGTTCAAAAACATCAAGTTTTCGGAATATCCGCTTCATAAGTTCATATACTTCTATAATTTTGCTTGAAAACATCAAATTTAGGGGATAAAGGGTAAAAAAAAAAAATCAATTTTTATATGATTACAATCAGAATCAGCAAATTTTACGAGAGCAATTAATTAAGAAAGAAAATCAAACTTTGTGCAAACCCAGATCATATTTTTGATCAGCACATCAAAATATCAAAGTAAGAGAAAAAAGTATTTAAAAAATCAAAGCTTTAGAAAGATATCAAATTTTGAAAAGAGGGTGAATAGAGAGTTTACCGAGAATGGTATTCGTCACGATTGAGGAGTAGAAGAAAAGGGTAGAGTGGATGAGCTTGCCATAGAAATACAGTGATGCACATCACCTTGTTTTTATTTGCTTTATTATCAACCTGATTTAAATCTGTAATTCGATGTTGTTGCTTCAAGTCAATCGGTGAAGGGAGTTGCGACTTATTGTTTCGTGAATTTCTTCGATTGATGTTTTATTTGCTGTTTTTAATTAAAGATGATGAATTGACTCATTGAGTGTGTGCGTCGACACGTTTAAATTTTATTGCCTTATTAATTAATGTGACAACAGAATTGTCTAATTAATCTCGGTGATCTGTAGAGCTTACAGATTGGCCTTTTTTTGAATATTTTTTTTTGAAGTATTTAAGTTCACAACCTTGTTGCTTAATTCGTCTTTCACATCACCTCATAACATACATATACTATTATATTGGTATTAATGTTAGGAAAATTTGACTTTAATAATCACTTATTGGCTTTTATCACCTTCATAAAAAAAATTTAAAAATTGAATTTATTGTATAGGAAAAAGCCCCAACGCATAAATATCTATTTTCCCTTCATTGGACCCCCTTTCCATTCACAAACCCGCAAAATAACATCAGGCCGGCCTATAACCGTGTTTTATTTTTTTGGACGAGTTTGGATTTTGAATTAAAATTGTGTTTTTAAGGTTGTTTAAATTTGCACCGTTTTTAGACCAAGTCGAGATCAAATTAAAGATGTACATAGAGCATTGATGAATTGAAATTGCTTATACATTAAAAGGAAAAAAAAAGCTTATTGTTACATGGTTGACTTTGTTTTTATTATATTAAAAAATTAGCAATAATATGATTAATATTTAATATTGTTTGATAAAAATCAAATCATAGCTACATTTTCACAAATCACAATCACTCTAGGAAAAATAGAAGTAAAAGCCAAGGTACAATTTTTTAATTTTTTTTTAGTACTCCAATATTTTAAAACTCTACTAACTAAAGATCATAAACTCATCTTCATTAGGATCAAAATGTTTTGGATTTGATTCTAACAAACCCACAAAAAAAAAAAAAAAAAAACCGCATAAATATCTGAACTCTCAAACAGTATATATCACGTGTCAGTTGAACCACACGAACTACATTAGGTGTTCTCACGTGACCAGCCTGCTCCCCTCCTCCTCCTAAAAAAAAAAGAGATTGAAAATTAGAAAGGGGGTCTCACACACACAACCAACACCCAACACAGCAGCAGAAGAAAACCCAACTCTTCTTTTCTTTCCCCAAAAATATAAAAAAAAAAAAGAAAAAGAAAAAAAAATGGGTAAGATAGTGGAGAAGAAGAAGAAAGGTCGACCATCTCTGTTAGATCTTCAAAAACGTTCCTTAAAACAACAACAAGAGCAACAACAACAATCTCAACAAAAAATTCGGAATCATAAAATTAATAAAATCCCCAATTCCAAAATTACAAACCCTAGCCTTAATTCCAATTCCTCCGCCGGAATTCGCCGATCCACTCGCCGGAACCCTAACCCTAATTCCGACCCCGACGAGGATACTCCTTCTGCTACTAAGAAGCGATTAAAGCTTGCTAATTTGAAATTGCCCAAGAATGAAGATGATGATGAGGAAGAAGATGAGGAGGAGGTTCTGGGTAAGGGTAACTCTGATGAGGAGAGAGATAATTCGGGTTCGGAATCTTGCCCGGATGATGGTGCTTCCTCGGGTTCGAATCTTAAGAAGCGCAAAATTGATTCAATTTCTCATGGATCTGGAGTTAAGGAGATTAAGGTTTATATTTTAATTTTTAAAATTTTTATATTGATTTGGGTTTATTGTTGGAGAAATTGAAATACTGACAATTTTTTTTGTAGTTGATAAAAGCGCGGGTTTTTTTTAGTAAGCATTGATTTTTGGTTAATTTGTGTTAGTTTTTGAAAAATCGTTACTACTACTTCTTCCTTGAATTTCGCGCATTTTAATTTCAAGTGAGGGTGACGCACTTTGACTCAGTCTCTCTCCTTTCTTGGTGTAAGAATTGTGGAATTCGTTAGTATCTTTTTGGCTGCTGATTTTTTTTTTGGGTTTCTGTAAATTGGGTATTTTTTTTAATTAATTAATTTTTGCTAAATTTAAGGGAAAAATTATTTGTTGTTGATTGTGGATTTGTGGGCATTAAATGATAAGACTGTCATCTCAACAAAAAGTTCAAATTTGTCTTTACTTTAAAAATATTTCCTTTTTTAAAAAAAATAAAAATAATGGTTGGAGTACTATGTTACTATGCAAGTTTTATAACTGTCGCTTTGCTTGAGATTATTTTTGCTTTATTATTGTGGATAATATATAATGCTGACTGATATTGGGTTTGTTTTTGCAGAGTGAAAAGCACAGCAGTGCTGTTGTAACAACAAAGCAGGAGAGCACTCAACAAGGTTTCTAGCTGTTTTATGTATCATCTTAAGTGAATTGTTAGGATTGTGATTGTTTTGATCATCTCGTGTTGAATGTCAATTTTGATGATGTTTGCAGAATCTAAGGTGGATGATGGACCGATGACGCCGTTGCCCGATAAAAGTCTGTTGCTTTTTATTCTTGATAGACTTCAAAAGTATGACCTTTTTAGCTAAATGGGGTTTTGATCTTGCTTTTTAGTGATTTGGCTTTTTGAATTGTGTGCTGAGTATATACTTAGAGGATGGGTATTTTTCTATGATCAGGAAGGATACTTATGGAGTTTTTGCGGATCCCGTGGACCCGGAAGAGGTGAATTGAAAGTAGTGATGATATTAAAATCTTTATGGAAGTTGTTGCCAGTTTGATTCTTGTTTGAATCTGTTCTCTGTTTTTGTGGGGTGCAGCTTCCAGACTACCATGAAGTTATTGAGAACCCAATGGATTTTAGTACTGTAAGGAAGAAACTTGCCAGTGGTGCTTATGCTAACCTGGAACAATTTGAGGTTTGTTTTGGTCTCAGCTTTTATCTTAATTATTTCTGACTGCATCATATTGGGGTAGAGTTATGGTTGGTGGTTGAAGGGCTTACTCTGCTCAGCTTTTGATCTTCATGTGTGTGAATAATGCCAACTATCATGTACGATTCTACATGGTAGGGGTTTTTTTAAAAAGCCGATTTCATCTTCTTGGTTGATGCTTTCACTGATTATCTATGGTGAGTTGCAATTAGTAATTGAGACTCTATGACCATGATCATGGTGATAATATTAACTTGGTTATTTGCTCTGTCCTTGTAAGGAGGCCAATGGAGAGAAGGGATCTCTCTCTTCCTTCTCAACAGGTCTTGTAATACTTGCTTTAGTTTGAGATCTTGGTTCCACTTGTTACAGGTAGATAAGGGTCTACTATATCATATATAGAGTTTGGAGCCCTAGAAGTTTGGTATAGCAGTCTATATATGAGATTGAAGTCCCCTGGTAGCTATAGAATTTTCATCACCAGCTTTCTGCTTGCCTTGGGAATGCAGTGTTGGAATGAAATGGAGCATATTTGTCAGTAGTTCCTTTCTGTCTTTAGAGGCTGTGATAAGCTCTCTTTTGCATTAAGTGTCATTTACCCATGATTTGCTTTTTGTGAGTGGAGGTCCTCCTTGGAATCTTTTTAGATTCTTAGTTTCAAAATTTCAATTGTTTTGTATCTCTTTGAAACTCAGGAGTTTGATGTCCAGATTTTTGCTGGGAATTTTGCTTACTATGAATTTGTCCATTGCTGTCCATCATAGTTTCATCTATAGTTATGCTGCATGTATTTTGTAAATTTCTCACCCAGTTTTCCTTGATGCTTAATAGAGACATGAACATCAAGTTCTGAGTCGTCTGACCTATTTGATATTCTTCGTATCTTCTTAATCATGACTGTGTCTGTGCATAAAAGCCTGGAAGACTATAATAGAGTTGAGTAATTAAAAGTAAATATTGTTATTTAAAATTTAAAATTAAGGGACAAAGATGCAATCCAAGATCTGCGGAACTATACGACAAATGTTCAACTCTATGCACTTAAATTTATTTTATGGCTAGGTATTAATATCTCACATGACTACTATAGGTGCCTGTTGTATACACTGATTTCCTAATTTTGGGTGGGTGGGTGGGTGTTGGCTGGTTTGGTAGTCTAGGTCTCTGTGTAACGTTATAGCCATGTGTTTGAATAATTTATGTAACCAATTATTACTGTATCTCATGCCTCCAATTAACATCTTTTTGACCTTCCCTTCTTGTTATGCAGAAAGATGTTTTCTTGATCTGTTCCAATGCAATGCAGTATAATGCTCCAGATACTATCTACTTTCGACAGGTAAAAAGACTTGCTTTTATAAAAAAAATTTGTATGCTATGTATGCCTTTCTTTTTAATATTGCTTTTCTTACCAGGCACGGTCTATACAAGAGTTGGCTGTGAAAAATTTTGATAATCTAAGGGCAGATAGTGATGATAATGAACCAGAACCAGAACCCAAGGTTGTAAGAAGGGGAAGACCGCCAACAAAGAATTTGAAGAGACCTCCAGGTAGACCTCCATTAGAGAGGGCTAGCTCTGACTTTTCCGAGGCAACTCTTGCTACTGCTGGGGGAAATTCTAATCGATCCAATAATGAGGTGAGGAAGGCATCTCATTCAGATAAGTATGGATCAACTGATACATTTGCACGATCCTTGTATGGCTCTCGTGTTGGTGAGGCTTATATTGGCTGGTCTGCTGAGAGATATGATAGAGCTGATGACATGTTAGGTAAGCATTCATCATGCTTATGGGCTCCCCTGAACCATTCAGTATTTCTATTTCTTGTGCTTTTCTTGTTACTCAGGAATTTTGATGTTCTACCTGTAATTTTGTCAGGGTCTGCTTCAAAGGGGATTTTAATGAAGCATGGAAAAAAACATATTGTGCTTGATGAAACTAGACGCAATACTTACAATTCCTACTCCCTAACTTGCGGACAGGAACCATCAGTATTGACGACCTTCGATAAAGAGAGAAAGCAGCTAATTGCTGTAAGTATTTATCACTTGAACCGATAAGGATTGTGAGTGTTGAATGTCTTGTTAGACATGAAGCCATTTTCTTTGTATTTAATATAATATGCATGAGTGTGGTTTGAATTGTTACTTGACACGGTAGCACAGTATCAGGGTGGGAGGGAAAACATCGTAATCCAGTAGGTTTAGAATTGGACACTGACTTATTGGCATGGTCATTATAATAAGCTTTGAATGTGGTTTAAGTTTTTATTCGCCAAGCTTCAGAATGATATCAGGCTGTCGGCCAAAACATCGTAATACTTAGTTAGAATTGAATACCGGCTGATTGGCATGATCCTTATAATAAGCTTGAGTGTGGTTTTACTTTTTACTTGGCAAAGCATCGTAATCTAGAAGATTTAGAAATGTGAGTATGGGTGTGAGTTTTTTGGGTTGGTATGGATGTGAGTTTTTTAGGCTTCTTTTTGAAATTCAAACATCCTGTGAGTGTTGATATCACCCAATATATCTAGATGACGTGCACTAGGATATTTGATTTTTCTGTCTTTCATCTTCTGTGGTCCGATTAATTGTATATGCATAAAAGAAATGTGCTATCCTTGAATTGCTGTTAGTCCCAAATTGAAAGTTCGGACGTTTCTTTCTTCTGCTCTCTGACTTGGTTTTTCTATGTTATCCAGGTGGGACTTCATACAGAGTACGGTTATGCGAGGAGTTTGGCACGGTTTGCTGCTAAAGTTGGACCTGTTGCGTGGAAAGTTGCTTCAAAGAAGATTGAGAAATGCTTACCTGCTGCTGTCAAGTTTGGCCCAGGGTGGGTAGGAGAAAATGAAGCTCCTGCAGAAAGGCCGATGCAGCAACAGTCACCTGCTTCTGTTGGTCAACAAAACCCACCATCCTCGTTGCCTGCAGCTACTGATACACCTTCTACTCCTACACAAGGTGTAGCAGATTCAAGTGGTGATGGGTCAGCGCAAAAGCCACAAGGGGAGCAATTGTCTGAGACGCATAAAATGTGTAATAAATCAAACTTAAACGAGGAGTCGAGCAAAGCCCTTTCTCCTCCAGCTGTTAGTAATGATGCTACTCCAGTTACTTCTTCCAAAGTGTCCAGCACTGGTGCTGGGCCCAACTTGATTGCACCTGAAGCTAGTGCAAGTTCACCATCGACTACACTGGTCAGCATATTAAATAATGGCACTGGTTCCATGAGACCCGGAAATCCACATCCCATTAATCAAACTTCAACGTTGCAATCCCGTATTAACGGGCTTAATGGTAGTTATGGGCTTAATTTTGCGGCCCAGATGGGGAAAATGATTGGGGCAGCCAGGCCTGCAATGTTCAATCTTCAGTCCAATCCATCAATTGTGACTCTGTCCAGAACTGAGACACAGAGTCCTCGGCCTCAGACCATTGATAATAATGGTTTTGGAGAAGCTAAGTTGTTGGAAAACTCTAGTACAATAAAACCTATTGAAGGTTTACCAAAAGTGGGGTCCAATCCAAAGGTTGGTTCCACACCGCCTGACTTAAATGTTGGATTTCAGTCGCCAGGATCTCCAGTTTCTGGGAAGGCTGATTCAGTGCAGCCAGATTTGGCATTGCAGCTCTAGTCTTCAGGTAATTTTTCCCCTTTCATTACTTTTAACGGCGGTGAACGGGTTTCAGATTCTTGCACCCAATGAGTAGAGTAGAGAGAGCGAGTGTCTCTCCTCTTTATGGGGCGATTGAGTTGAAGCCGTATCTAACTGTATTCTTAGATCGAGTAGTTCGTGTACAGATTTGCGTATGGAAATTCTTAGGTTAGCAAGTGATGAGGCCTCATGTAACATTAATTGGAAGCTGTGTTGTAGACTAGAATTTATTTATGTGCAAGATCATATAAATGTTATACATAAAAATTGTTGCTCAAATTGATAATAACATAGTTGAGTTTGTTAAGTCTTGAATATGTGTCTTCCAACCACTCCTTATTTCTTAAGGTGTCCTGAACCCAGGAAACGGGGCTCATTTTGGACACCTGAAATGATCTGTATTCGGCTATTCGCCTTCGATGTTTCAACTCAGCCATGGTATTCTCTTTGAACTTTTTTCTCCTTCAAACGGTTTTTTTTTTTCACCAATTATTTTTTTTAAATTTTTTTCATTAATTTTTCTTTAATTTTTCGTATATGGATAATGATACCTTCCAAGTTACCTATATACGGAATACTACAACATGAAGAAATAAAAATAAAACCTGACTATTAAAAGGGGTGAGGATCATATATTCTACTTCGCATACATTCTTCACTTGTGTCCCAACTCCCAACTAGAGTTGGGCATGGGCTTGGTTGGCAGTTTGGCATAAGGGTCGATTAGACACAGCAAGAAAATGGGTTGACCTAGCATGAGAAGCATGCCGATGTGTGAGCATCATTTTCAAAATTTGGCATGATCACGATGGGGCGATTGTGCTCTTTTTTTTTTTTTTTTTTTTTCTTTTTAGTTTGGTCTATTGGCTATTAATTAATTCTTTGGTTGAGCATAAATCAAATGGAGGAATCAGAAAGTCATGGAAATCTGTTTGTAAATACAGTAATAGTTTCTCACACAATAGTTGTCCCATTATGAAATTCTAATGTCGTTTAAAGGTTCAAATAATAAACAAATCAAAATTTACGTAGCACTCACATACTATACTAAAGTCTTAAATCAACTAACCTATTAAGTACGGAGGTGCCCCACAACAATATCTTTCTTGATACTGCCAAAAAAAAAAATGAGAATTTTGTTTGTGATCTTGTGGAAATGTAGTGTATACTACTATTCAAAAAAAAAAAAAAAAAAAAAAATTGTAGTGTATACTAATTTGGTAACTTTCCATGATTCCATCCCGTTAATAAATGAATTGGGTTATTGTTTTATCACTTTACTAAGCAAATAATAACAATAACACAGATTAAGACAGAAATAAACTGCTGTAGGGAAATTATGATTCAGTTAAATAAAATCCACAGGCTGTTCCGTCAGAGGCGTTTCACGATTCATAGAATCATAATTGGAAGCTCCTCCTTCCTGTAGGCAAATTATGTTCTCAGCTAATTTACTACTTGTATGAAAAAAAACTCTTGAAGTACATAACGGGTGCACTTTTAGCGCCATTACGGGTGAATCTTAAGCTATACAGGAGATAAAATGCAGACAGCAAAACATTTCCATTCCTGAATCCTGATATTTGCTTAAAGCTGTCTTAGACTTACACATATCCGGATAAAATGACCTGATAGCAATTCATCATCACAAAATTATAAAAACCAAATATTTGAATTGTGGCAGATTTAATTAAGTGCAGTTTTTTAAGGAATTAAATTAACTGTGAAGCAATTGTCTAGAGTAGAAACTGCTGCAGGCTTGCAGCATTGATATTGTTTTGAAGTTGAGAACTCTGGTTAATCTTTACTTGATGTTTCATCCGAAACTTTGACAACTTTTTTGGTGAAATGGCTTCATTTTCAGCTCTCTCCATCAATTTCATCCTCTCCACGGGTGGACTTTTAGCGCCATTCCCGTGTTTTCACTCTGAAGACTTGTCAAATTCCTCTCCATGATGTATATCTACTGGATCCTGCAAATAGCCCAAGTCAAGTAAACGGAGGAAAATCTAATGTGAAAGGGCTCATTTCTAAGCATTTTATTAATTTTTGATTTTGTCTACTCTACGCTTGCTAACCATGAATTAGCCTCCCCAGTCCACAAAGGTAATAGCTTTTTTCAATTCTTATTAATTATTCACCACTTTTATTCTTAAGTCTTAGTCTTTATCTGCATCTTTGTTGTTTTTCTCTAACACTCCTCTTCAAAAAGATAATAATAAAAATTATAACAGTTTTCCACCAGAGTTTCACGTATAATATCTGTAAGAAATAATTTGGAAATTTCACAGCGAGGCAACTGCTCAAAGAAAAAGAGCAGAGTTATTTTCCTGAAATATGGTTACAGAGCATTTTCCAAGTAATTCCTCCTTATGACTCATATTCATAGCGTTTTGTAGTGCTGTCTAAATAATCCGTATACGTGCACATAAATTCAAAACATACAATTTTCTAATATCATTTGCATTTCCTTCATCACTTTTTCTTGTAAAAGTACTGACTGATTACTCATAAGGAAGTGAAAAAGTGCAGCAGGAATGGATGTGTCAGTAGTTCTCACGCTGGTACAAACTCTTCTCCAACTGCTGGACACTCCCATTGGAGAGGAAATTGAATCATTATGGGGTTACAAATCCCAGCTTGAGAAACTCAAGGCCACTATGTCTACCATCAGAGCGGTGCTCCTTGATGCTGAGAAGCAAGAGAGACAGCAACTTGAGCTCAGCCACACATTACAAGACAAGCTCGGGAGGCTCAAGGAAGCCGTTTACAAAGCTGATGACTTGTTTGATGAGGTTGCTACTCTTGCCCAGCGCAAGAAGCTTATGTCTGGTAGCAGTGTGAGGAAAGAGGTACGCCTTTTCTTCTCTCGCTTTAATCAGCTCCGTTCTGCTTTCAATATGTCTCGTGAAGTTAAAAAGATCAAGGAGATATTGAATGATGTTGCTAGAGATCATCATGGCTTTGGTTCGAGACCACAGCATGGTCATGAGGTATGCGAGGTGAAAAACGAAAGGGACTCTCACTCTTTTGTACATGAGGAAGATGTTATTGTTGGGAGAGATGAAGACAAGAGGATAGTGATAGATATGTTACTAGACAGTTCTGTTGCTGAGGATGTTTCTTTTGTGACCATAGTTGGGATGGGAGGGTTGGGGAAGACAACTCTTGCCCAACTTGTGTATAATGATGAGACAATCGAAAGGGAGTTTCCATTGAAGATGTGGGTTTGTGTCTTTAATGATTTTCATACCAAATTGCTTCACAAAATTCTAACATCTGTAACAAACCAAACAGATCATGATGGCTTAGAAATGGAGCAGCTCCAGAGAAGATTGCGACAAGAACTTGAAGGGAAGAAGTATCTGCTTGTTTTGGATGATGTTTGGAATGAGGATTTTAATAAGTGGCACAAGTTGAAAATTTTGTTAATCGGAGGTGGAAGAGGTAGCCGAGTTATTGTGACCACACGCTCTAAGAGGGTAGCAGACATGGTGGGAAACCGCTATATGTTTGAATTACATGGTCTCTCAGAGAGAGACTCCTGGAATTTATTTGAGAGAATGACACTAGAAACTGGGCAAGATGAAATTGAGCCATACTTGGTCAATACTGGAAAAGAAATTGTCCAAAAGTGTGCTAATGTTCCACTTGCCATAAGGGTTGTAGGAAGTCTTCTTCGAGGCCAGGCAGAAAGTAGGTGGCGATTTTTGAAAAACACTGCCTTGGCAAACATAGAACCTGATGAGAATGACATAATTCGTGCATTGAAGATTAGCTATTATTATCTTCCGTACCATTTGAAGAGCTGCTTCAGTTATTGTGCTGTATTCCCCAAGCATTACAAGATCAAGAAGGAGGATTTGATCAGTCTCTGGATGGCACAAGGGTTTATTGTTCCATTAGGCGGAGAGAGTCTTGAAGATGCCGGTGAGGAGTACTTCATGAATTTACTGCAAAGATGCTTCTTTCAAGATGTAGAGCGAGCTGACAATGGTGAAATTCTGACATGCAAAATGCATGATCTGATTCATGATCTCGCTATAGAAGTAGCTGGAGCAGAAATCTTGTCATTCAGCTATAATACAAGCTATTTTGATAAGAAAACTCGGCATCTATTTGTCAATAGTACTGTTGGTCGAAAAGATTTTAGAAGATATTTGACCACAATGAAAAGAATGCGTACAATTTTGAACATAGGGTACCCCAACCCTTTAGAAAGCCCTGATGTGCTGCTACCAAAAGTGAGATATTTAAGGGTATTAGATTTACATGGGGCTTCATTTGAAAAGCTACCAAACAAGATAGGTGAATTGTTGCATTTAAGATATCTTGACCTGTCTTGTAATCGTAGTTTATCTGTGTTGCCCTTGTGCATTACCGAGCTTTATAACTTGCAGACATTCTTATTGCGTGGTTGTGAGTCACTAAAAGAGTTGCCGAGGGACTTCAGAAAATTAGTTAATCTTAGGTGTCTAGATATATTTGATTGTAATAGTATGACACATATGCCTCCAGGGATGAATAGTATGACCTGTCTGAATAAGCTAACTATGTTTTTAGTTGGCGGTACAAGCAGTGCTTGCTGTTTGAGGCCAGTAGGTGCTGGTGGACTTAGCGACTTAAAGTATCTCAACAATCTCACTGGAAGTATGGAAATCAAGGTCCATAGAGGTTTAACATATGATGCAGCAGAAGCCAAGAAAGGGGGGCATCTGATCAACAAGCAAAATTTACGGGGCATAAACATATGCTGGACGCAAAAGCTTTGTGGAATGGAAAACCCCAGGTTTATTGAAGATGACAGTGAGGGTACTAATGCAGAAGCATTACTTCACGGCCTGCAACCCCACCCCAATCTAAAATTGTTTGGATTGTGGGATTATCCAGGTGTGAGGTTTCCGAGCTGGGGGAGCTCATTGATGAATCTTGAAACTTGTCTCCCGAATATTGTTGAAATTGAACTTTATGAATGTAAAAGCTTGGAGCATCTGCCATTATTGAGCCAACTTCGTTATTTGAAATCCCTTGAACTTGTTGGATTAATCAAATTGGAATACGTGGAGAGTATTTATGGAGACAAGGCACCCAAAGCATCAGCAGTGTCAAGAAAAGCAGTATCAGTAGCAGATGAGTTAGTCTTCTTTCCATCCCTTGAAAAGCTTGTTCTAGGAAATCTTCAAGAGTTGAAGGGATGGTGGAGATCATCATTGCATCTCGATGCAGACTCAGGTGACAGTGAGGCTGGACCATGTAAAAAATCATTCCCCCGGTTATCTTACCTGCATATAAGGTTGTGCTGGAACCTGACAGATATCCCTCTCTGTCCAAAACTGGAAAAATTGGAGTTGAGCAGATTCAATAAAGCATTGGGTCCAATAACTAGACCAAGAAGTGCGAGGAGATGCGTTGTTGATGCAAGGTCTTCCTCTACAGAATCAAATAGGCTGTACCCTGGTGATGATTCTCCATCAGCACCAAGCACTCGACAGACGCAGCAGGAGCAACAGCAGCAGCAAATACCAGGAGGATTGAAGGAAGTTAAGATAGATGAAGTAGGGTATCTGAAATCCTTGCCCCACGAGTCTTTTCAGAGCCTTTCTCATCTGGTGGTAAGAGGAGACCATGATATGGAAAGTTTAACAGAAGAGGCAGGGGAGGTGTTCCGAAGTGGCCGTCTGTCCTCTCTACACTCCCTTGTAATTTCTGACTGCTCCAAATTGAAGAGGCTATCAGGAGAGGGAGTGTGGGAGCATCTCACCGCCCTTGAGAGCCTACATCTGAAAATGCTTTCTGAGTTGGAGTTGGATGATGATTATGGAGATCTCAACACTCGAGAATGCACAACCGAGGATAATCATGGCTCTGATACTGACAGTCCCTGGAAATACCTTCATCCAACTCTGCATTCCTTAGTATTATGGTACCTCCCAAGGTTGGTGAAGCTACCAAAGGGAATGAACCGCTTGACTTCCCTTCAATTCCTACAAATTACAAACTGTGACAATTTTGAAGCCCTACCATCGTGGATAGCCTACTTCTCATGTCTCCAGTATCTTGTAATTCGGAATTGCAAACGACTGAAATTACTGCCAGAAGAGATTTGTCACCTCAGTTCCTTACAACAACTTGATGTGCGGGGGTGTTCGCCAGTGTTAAAAGAAAGATGCCAGGAATCAACTGGTGCTGATTGGCCCAAAATCCAACACATCCCTCGCATTGATGTGTAAAGGAAAAATTAAAAAGGTAATTATCATTCTCGCTTGTGGTTTATTTAATTTGGTCCGTTAGAAAAAAAGATTTAAGTATTGATCATTTTTAATAGGTGAGCGTAGGATTCTGCAGCAACTGGGATGATAACCACTTCTTTAAGCAGACTTACGCATTATCATGCAGATGTGAGTGTCGCCAGGATGACTACCTTCAAATGAGGTGATAGTGGTCAAGGTTGGATAAAAATGAGAGTTAGTCTCTGGTGACCATGTATTAAAACTGGGAATAAACTGTCTCTGACAGTCTGACCTCCTACATAAGCTGTAACATTCTGAACTGAAAACCGGCCTCGACTGAAAAAATTGAAGCCATATCTCTAATTGTATTGATGTTTGCTAGGAAATGAAGTGATACCTCCTGTTACAAAATTACCTTATGACCTGGTATATATTTTTCCTAGATTGTGTAAAAACATGGAATCTCATCTTTTGAAGTAATTGCTTGTAACTTCTTATAAGCAATTCAACCAAACATATATAAAAGAGAATCATCGCTCATAAATCTTATGATATGTCTACACATATTTGTTCGTGTAACATATACCTGATATACGTAGTATTAACAGCAAAAATGTTAAATCTCATTATTATGCAAACTATTCTATAAAATTCATTAGTGTTACTCTCTTTCATTCCATACGTTTGGGCTTGTGTGATTGAGTTGTGATTTGGTGAGGTTTGCATTGCATATAATGTTGGGATCTTCCTGATCTAGAAATTAAATTGAATAATCTGGAACTAGCAGTGCTAGTCCTGTAAAACATTATCCTTTCATCAAGTAATAGATTTTCCTAGATGCATATTACTTGCTAGTTGGCTACACTGCTATAATTGATTCTTGCCACATCCTTTTTGTCTCTCGTTTTCTACGGTCCAATTTCTTGTTCAATGACTTGGTGTTTTCAATGTGACTCAGGTAGGGCTGCATCCAGTTATCGGTATATGCAACGAGTTTGATGCTAATCTTGGACCTGTTACTTGGAGTGTCGCTTACCCTCCACAGGAATAATGAAGAATATCAGCGTCACTGTCTGCTGGGCCTCAACTCTCAAGTCAAGTAAACGAAGGTAAATAAGGGTTAGTACTTACTTGTGGTTCTGTTGTCTAGTGAATACAACTTGTACAAATAAGACAATGTGGTTGCATTCCGCAATTATTCATATCACATTCACATTCATTGCAAATTGAAAGAGTAAACTAATCAGAATTTTCTTAACCGTGTATGAAAATATTTCATATGTAAAACATTATCTTAACCTTTTTAATTGAAAAATGAGAAGAACGAATAGGATCAAAGAGAATATTATTATTTTTCATTCATTAAATTATGGTCAGTTCGTTTTGTTGATGAACATTTTTTAAGAATTAATTTTTGTGAATTCCCTTTGCTGGTTTTTCTAAGAAGTGGGTGCTTTTCATATTACTAGTACTAGTTAGGTTAATCCTGTGCGATGCACAATGATAACAATAAAAACTATACTTGTATATATATGTAAAATATACATATTTTAAACAAAACAAAATAAATCGTGATCGATCTGTCTCGTTAGATTAATTAAACTAAATTTTTAAAATGTTAGCATTCGTTTTTTATTCATTATAGAAAATTTGAAGAATTAATAAAGAGAGGAAACTAATCCAAACTCTACTATCAATAACAAAATGCATGAGATAGTTTTTAAAAATAATCTATGTAGGAGGAAAAAAAGAATGTGAGAGAGACTATCCGCTAATCATTTTTACTCTATAGAAAATTGTGTAATTAGTCAATTTAGTCGTAAAAGCTTTTAGAAAAATGTATGATTAGCGTTACCTTGAAAAAAAATGATGTCACAAATAGTTTAGGAGGGAATTTTTTTTATAAGAAGACGACGCATGGATAATGGTGATGTCAGCGGTAATTACTTTAGTATTTATTATAGATTATATTTGTTAGGGAAAAAAATTGACCAAATATCATTATAACGGGGATATGATACTCTTCTGTTAGGTGTAGATGTAATTGTAAAATACTTATTTGATTGATACACCATATATTATTCTTTACATTTATCACTGAATTTTTTAAACACTCATAATGGTCTAAGGATGTAGTTTTAATATACTCATGATCTAATTTATCGATCTTTCGTTATATTTCATGATTATTTTTATTATGATGTGCAAAATAAGAAGAAAATAAATATGAAGTATATTATAGTTGTAATTTGTCCATGTTATTTTTATATAAAAAAATTATTTTAATAATAGTGATGAAACTAGGACCTAACCTAGTATAATACTGATTATATCTTTAATAATTTAATATAGTCTATGTCCCAATTAACCGGGTATATATTTTTCTTAGACTGTAGAAACTGAGGAATTTTTCGAAATTGAGTAATTGCTTGTAACTTCTTATAAGCAATTCAACCAAACATATGGAATCAAAAGAGAATCAGCATTCATAAATCTTACTATCTGTCTATACATACATATTTGTACGTGTAACATATACATATCAGCAAACATGTTAAACCTTATAATGCAAACTATTCTGTAAAATTCATCAGTGTTATTCTCTCTTCACTCCATTCGTTTGGGTGCTTGTGATTGAGTTATGATTTGGTGAGGTTTGCATTGCGTATAATGTTGGGATAGACATCCTGATCTAGAATTTAAATTGATTAATCTGGAACTAGCAGTGCAGAAGTGCTAGTCCTGCATAAAATTATCCTTTCAATAAGTAATAGGTTGAATGTAGATATTAAAGATTTGCCTAGATATACAGTGCTTGCTAATTGGCTATGCTGCTATACTTGATTCTTGCCACATCCTTATTGTCTCCCGTTTCCTACGGTCCAATTTGTTGTTCACTGACTAAAACATATTTTCTAAATTTCTCAATGGTGAGAATATGTTTTATTAAAATCACGTCATCGGTCACCTGAAATAGCCGGAGGAAAGCGCATATCAAAGGTGGAATTATGAAAAGTTGTGATTATTCAAAGTAAATCGCCTAAAGTTATTATTTAAGTGAATTTTTCCTAATTACTCTATAATAAACCACTGTAAAAAAAAATTTGAATATAATGGGACTAACTTCAAATGAGTAAAAACTGACAAATAAAACGATTAGCTGTGTAGATCGAGTACGGAAAAGTAAATAGCTATAAAATGAAGGTACAAGACAACCTGTCTTTCAATTATTGTGGGCCTGTGGGGGGAACAAGCCTGAAAATTTGATGAGGATAAAGCTTGTCTTTTGAAAAATCCTAAACATTCACACCTAAAAAACTTACTCCCTTATTGATTCGTTTGCATTTCCTTGCATTCCTCAAAAACACAATAAACCCAGAAGAGAGAAAAGATGGATGTAGCAGGAGGGCTTTCACTGGTGCAAACCATCCTTCAATTGCTGGACTCTGCTGTTTTGAAGGAAACTCAATCTGTATTGGGTGTGAAGTCCCAGCTTCATAAACTCAAGAAGACTATGTCCACCATTGACGCCATCCTCCGTGATGCTGAAGAACAAGAGCGGCTGCACCACAGTCGTTCCAACTACACTGAACGTAACAGACTTGAGAGGCTTAAGGAAGCTCTTTATCAAGCTGATGACTTGTTTGACGAGGTTACCACTCTTGCTCATCTCAAGATGCTCATGCCTGGCGACAAATTGAGTAAATTGAGGTTACCACTCTCCCTTTGCTTCTCTCAGTTTAATCAGCTTCGTTCTGCTGTTAATTGGTCTCGAGAGATCAAAAGCATCAGGAATGAGTTGGATGATGTTGTCAAAGATCATCACCTTGTCGGTTGGTTTAGACACTCGGTTGTGATCGAGGACAGCCGGGTGAGAAATAACCCGAGGGAAACTCACTCCTATGTGAATCTGGAGAATGATGTGATTATTGGGAGAAATGATGATAAGAGGTTTTTGATAGATGCGTTACTAGACACTACTGTTGAGGAGAATGTTTCTGTTATCAGCATTGTTGGGATTGGAGGTTTGGGAAAAACTACTCTTGCTCAACTTGTCTATAATGATTACAAGATTCAGACAGAATTTCCGCTGAAGATGTGGGTTTGTGTCTCTGATAATTTCAATGTCAAAGCACTTGCTGGTCAAATCCTTGCAGCTGCAACCAACCAGGCTAATCAAAGTGATGGCCTAAGTATGGACCAGCTTCAGATAAAGCTTAGAGAAAAAATTGATAGGAACAAGTATCTACTTGTTCTGGATGATGTTTGGAATGAGAATTCTGAAGAATGGAGGAATTTGAAAACTTTGTTGGCTGGAGGTGGGAAGGGTAACAGAATTTTGGTGACTACGCGCTCTAAAAAGGTAGCTGTTGTCGTGGGAAGTTGTTGGACTCATGAATTGAAGGGTCTTTCAGACGAAGACTCTTGGAATTTGTTTCAGAGAATGACACTTGAACCGGGGCAACATCAAATAGAGGCAAACCTGGTTGATATAGGAAAAGAGATTGTTCGAAAGTGTGCAAATGTTCCACTTGCCATTAGGGTGGTTGGAAGCCTTCTTCGAGGTCAGGATGAAAGTAAGTGGCAGAATTTGAAAAATAACGCCTTGGCAAACATTATACAAGATGAGGCCAATGGCATAATACCGGTGTTGAAGATCAGTTACAATTATCTTCCATTTCATTTGAAGAGTTGCTTTAGTTACTGTGCTGTATTTCCCAAGGATTACAAGATTATCAAGGAGGACTTGATATGTCTTTGGATGGCTCAAGGCTTCATTATGCCAAGATTATAATTTCTCATTAAAACCGTTTGTGGGGGGTGTATCAAAAGCAAAATATTTAAGGGTATTACGTTTGAATCTTTGTGATGGATTGAAAGAGTTGCCGAGCGGGATAGGTGAATTGGTGCATCTAAGGTATCTTGACCTTTCAAATAATATGCTATGTGTATTGCCCTCATCCATTACCAAGCTTTATAACTTGCAAACATTAAAGTTGCGTGGGTGTAGGGTTCTAAAAATATTGCCAAGGGAGTTGAGGAAATTAGTTAATCTTAGGCACCTTGATATTTCTGGTTGCTCGAGTTTAACTTGTATGCCTCCTGGGATGAACAGCATGGCATCTCTGCGAAACTTGACAGGGTTTGTAGTTAGTGAGAGTGCAACAGGCAATGCAGGTGGGGGTTGTGTTGGTCAGCTTGAAAATTGGGATGATTTCACCAATTATACTCGCACTATGCTAATTGTAGTTAAAAAAAAACATGAGATACGATGCAGTAGGAGGGGGAATGCTAATAAAAAGTCCAAAATTGTGGGAAATTTTGTACAAGTGGGAAACAGAGGAGAATACTAATGCAGAAGTATTGCTGCAAGGCCTACAACCCCACTCTAATCTTAGAGAGTTAAAGTTGTGGAGTTATCCAGGAGCGGGGCTCCCAACCTGGATGATGACTCTCAGTTGTTGTCTCCCAAATCTTGTTCGAATCAAAATCAAGTTTTGTACAAGATTAGAGCATCTTCCGTTGATGAGTCAACTGCGTCATTTGAAAGTCCTTGCATTGAAAGGTTTGAGTGAAGTGGAGTATATGGAGAGTAGTAGTATTAATAGTGGAGATGATGATGAGTTGGTATTCTTTCCATCCCTTGAAAACCTGAAGCTTAAAAACATGCCAAAGTTGAAGGGATGGTGGAAGTCATCATCGGAATCAGAGGAGAGTGAGACACCGCATGCACCAAAACTTTCTCGTCTTGATATATATGGATGTCCAGAATTGACAACAGTTCCTTTGTTTCCGGGACTACAAGAATTGTACTTAGAAGATTTTAATGAAGCGCTGGGCCCAATAATGAGGGAGACTACTCATGGTTTGTCGTCTTCCTCAGTTTCTAATAATAATCATAAAGAGGATCAAGGGCGGCAGGGAAGATTGAGGGAAGTGACGACAGATAACGTGGGATATTTAACTTCTCTTCCCATCCACTCTTTCCACGATCTTTCGGATCTCCGTATTAGATTTGACTGGAAAGTGGAGGAATTGAAAACAGGAGAGGTGGGTGAGGTGTTCCGAAGCGGCCGCCTGTCCTCTCTTCGCTCCCTTGTTATTCATAATTGCCATAATTTGAAGAGTATATCAGGACGAGGAGTGTGGGACCAATTCACTGCCTTGGAGAGTCTATTACTGATTTATCTTCCTGAGTTGGAATTGGAGGATGAAGATGATGTCAGCAACAACAAAAGCACAGAAGAAGGATGCATTAATAATAATAATGAAGGAAGTGACGCAGAGATGCCATGGAGATACCTTGCTCCCACTCTCCGTTCCTTGTTTTTAGAGAGTCTACCAAAGGTGGTGAAGCTGCCAAGGGGGATTGGATGCTTATCATCTCTCCATTCCCTGGAGATTAAGGATTGCGACAATTTGGAAAGCCTAACACCATTAATTGGCGGCTTATCATCTCTCCAATCCCTGACTATTGATTGTTGTTCAAATTTGAAAAGAATGCCAGAAGAGATGCGCCACCTCACCTCGTTAACCAAGCTTCGTATAAGGAGATGTAGTCCAGTGTTAATGAAGGACTGCGAGAACAAGAATGGTGCTAACTGGTCCAATATCCAACATATCCCCAACATAGGTATGAAAGATAAAATAGGGATTATTACTATTATTATTGTCGTCTTTTCACTTTTATTTTTCCAACTTTTTTAAAGAATGGATTGCTTGCTGGCTTGCTTATCAACTCTCTAACACCTTTTTCATATTTGCTCCAGATTTATTCTAAAATCAGCGCCCGAAAGAATTCGTTTACTCAATGTTCTTTTATATATAACTCAACTGGTCAAAGGTAATAATGTCTACCCATATTATTCAAACTTGGATTTCAATTTTTGGGTTCATAGCATATGATGCCGTGTCAATTATCATGTTAGTATTACCATTTTAGTAGTTTTGGTCGCGCATACACGAAAAGTTTCAGATTGAATTAGAATATATCTGAAAATTAGAATATGATACAAGGGTATACATCATATTCTAATTCAATTAGAATATGATGTATACCCTTGTACACAAAACTAAGTACATGATTAGATCGAATTAGAATATATCTGAAAATTCAGACTATATTAGACCAGATTTCTTATGGTCAAATATTTGAAGTTTCAGATATATTGATTAAAAATTATGAGAATCAGATATTTGGATAACACCCTTTTAAGACATTTAGCAGTCACTTATGGATTTTAATATAATGAAGCTTATGTTGGTTGGTTACCAGAATACGGGTTATATTATATGTGTGGGTTTTGGCTGTCTAGTTTAATTTCACCATATATAGGTGTTTGTGTATATACGTGTTTATTTATGATATTGTGCAAAATGGAATATTTATGAAGCAAGGGGGGATGGATATTCCCTCATGCTTGCTAATCTTGGCTTTAGATTGTTATTGCCATTATCTATCTTGACAACACACAACCCTTAATATTAACTCCTTGATGAAAAGTACAAGTTGCTAATTGCTGCTGTAAGTATACTCTGATTTAACTCGTAAGTAGAATCAATAGTATTGCTATTTAATTTTTTAAACTATACCTTTGGAAAATTGGCATGCTTTGTTTTTTATGATGGTCAATCCATCTTTTTCTATGAGATGAGCACATCCTATTGTAATTCAACAAGGTTGATAATTAATATGTATATCACTACTGATTTTGCTAGATGATGCATATTCCTACTGATGATATCTGCCATATTTTCTAGTTTGATTTAGTTCATTAGTGTGCATTGAAATTAAATGTTCTGGTCCAGTCCTATGGCTCAATCCATGGAACTTTAATACATAATTATTTTGTTCAACCTCAAAAGTAGGTTCTGATACTGCTTGCTTCATATTTCTTACTGTCATGATTTTTCTAGCTGATAGGATTCATGTACTGTAGAACAGGAGTTTTACCGAATTTCTACTAAAACAGGATTGTTGCTTAAATTGCAATCAAAGAGTAGCTTAAATGAGATGAGAGCATAACAAGGGAAGGATGATTCTTGGATTCCAGTCACTGGGATCTCCAGTTTGTGAAATTCGATGCTGCTAGATTTAGCACTACAGCTCTACCATTGATCCACTTATCTAGTATTTATTTCACATGGGCTGAAAGGTTTCAGAGCAGGGAAGGAGAAGGTAACTATCTGCACTATGAAGTAATTGAGTTGAAGCTATATTTTACTGTTTCTGCATTATGCAGCGTGTGAATTTTGTATTCCCACATTAATTCATAGTAAAAGGTAATGGCCTTTATGATTGCCAATTTATATCTGGCTAGTAAATTTCTTGTTACTCAGTAGTAAACCTTGACAAAGTTTCTTGCATCTATTGTTCTTCCATCAGTGCTATATAAAACATCTTAGGCCTTGTCATTTAGCTATAAATGTCATTCTTTTAGAGCCCATTTATTGAAGTGTTAGGAAAACAAATGAGTCTAGAGTAGTTTGTAGTTTGTTCCTGTTTCATTTGTACTGTCCTTTTTAGTTCTGAAGTTGCAATCTGTTAGGTATTCAAATTAAACATTTCAAAATTGAACCATTTTAAATTTTGTCAAGCTATATGTACTGGTAAATTACGTAACATGTTTATTGTTTCTTCCTATTGTGTAAGCACTATGCGATTGCATACAGCTTGCTCTAATATAGGTGAATCTGAGAATTTAGGTTAGCTGATTAAGATTTCCTGAAGAAACGGCCACTTAATAATCAAGCTTCAGGTTCTCATTGTTCTATAAGATGCTTTTATCTGGGTCATTCTTGTACACAGTTACCTTCATAAACACTATAATTCCCAGTTTTGATTTAATCTCTGTCTTAAAACAGGGGAGTCGGCTTTTAAAAGGGGAAGAGTTGCTTGTAACACTAGAGGGCACAGCATGAGCTAAGATAATTTCCTTTCAACCATCATTAATCAAGGATCCTTAAGGTTGGTGGAGTCAATTGTAATTCCAAAAATGCTTATAATTTCTAGTAATTCAATTATGCAGAAAATTTCATGATTACAAGACTGACAATATGGACAATCTATTACACTCTAGTTCAACTTATGTTGTTGCAAGTTGTAACTGTTGTATTGATTTGGTCTATTGCAATTGCTAGTCTTCTAATAGTGTCTCAGACCAAACATGGCTGCAGCAAAGTTTTTATATTACTGTAGTCATCCTGGTAAGCTTAAATGAGTTGAATCACTGTATTTGGAAATAACTAATGATGCAAATTTTCTATGACGTCCACTTGAGAGTTCTATACTTAGGAGTAAGAGGAAATCTATCAAGATTTACAATTAATCGTTCTATCAGATTATGCAATTTATCGTTCTATCAGATTATGCAATTAAAAAGACTAGAGAAACCAACTGCCTTTACAACCTTGTCAAAGTGCTTGTTTATGATATGGTTCTAAATGTTGTACTATATCTTTTTTCTTTTCTTTTTTTGGTCAAATACTTGTCATGCAGAAAGATTATCTCTTGAAGTGTTTGACTTGAAGGAGACTCAATATAATACTCCAGATTCCAGAAGATCGCCTCGTTCAAGTATTATCAGGTAGCAAGGAATCATTTCTGAATGCTATACCAATTCTCTTTTTCGTCGTGTTACAACAATTTTTAGCTTTTGCTTCATCTTCCAGATAGTACACTATATTTAAAGTTAAATCAATGTTATTGTGGACTAAATGTTCTCTGTGGTGTCAAAATATGGAGTTGTAAATTGGATGAATGTTTTTTGTTTGTTTTTTCTTACAGTTGTCAATTAGAAGGGCTGTGAACTTAACATTAAAAGTTCCGTGGTTCTCATCTTGGTGTTTCGCGTGATATTTCCTGATACCAGTTGGTACCAGAGAAAGGTTTTAACGTGAAGAGGACTTCAATGCTGCTTTGATGAACTGATTATCGGAAACTCCCCGTACAACCACTCTGAAGTTAGGCAGATTTCCAATGTCAGAATATCAACATCTTTTCTTTTACTTAGCAAGTTGTGAAAGGTTCCTTGGGGAAAGAATACATTCGTTGGATGCTCTGGTTCCAGAAATCACATGTGGCTACAATGCTACATACACCTGGGAAATGGTTTAACAAGAGAAGGTGCTCTATCAGAACATGTGATATATATTGCAGCAGCTACAGGCTTTGTTGCTCTTACTATATTTGGAAGGCTACAAATTACATGATTTCCTGTCAAAAATATCTTTTATTGTACTCTATAGAAGTATAAGAATAAAAGTCGACTAAACAATGTTTTAGGGAATAAACCCTACAGAGTTGTAGTATTTATAGAGGCGGCGTAATTGGCTTAAGGGTATTTGAGGAGAACCCTACCTAGTAGGTGGCTCTTTTTCCCTTGAGCTCTAGAGTTGTAAAAATATTTCTCTTCACCTGTTTTACTTTGCAAATGAGTAGCCTATGTTATACATATGTTCTCTTTAACTGCTCTAGGTTCCAAAGAGAAACAATATTTTTGTCCAGACTTCAGACGATATGACAGGCATCATTATTAGAATGGAGTTAGAAACCCAAATGTATAAAGGCAAGAAATTATTATTCCATTAAATGAGGTAGACAAATTACAAACCTGAGACTTGCTCAAAGCTACTTTACACATCTTGAAAGGGAACAAAAAAAAAATGACATGATATTACAAAAACATCATAGATCTTTCTCAATTTATACAAAAACGTATAAATAGCCATCACAGATCATTTGATGAGGTGCAACCTTACTCCAGAGTGTGAATATGAAGGGGCTTGAAGGGATCCAAAATCATTTTGCCTGGATGCTAAATTAGTGGGCAGAATATCAAGTCAATTCTATAGGTTAACTGCAGTATCTGGTGAACTAGTTGTGCTGGGTTTGCCATTTTCAGTCTTCGGACTGCTTCCATTGCTAATTAGGTCTAGGCCATAGACATGACCCATCTTCTTACGCTTTGTTTCCAGATATCTCTTATTCTCACTGGTTATTGGAGTAATAAGTGGCACTCTCCCAGATACAGCAAGACCATAACCCTTCAGCCCTATATATTTTGCAGGATTGTTTGTCATCAGCTTCATAGTTCTAATCCCCAAATCCCTTAATATCTGCATCATCCCCAAGTTTAATTAGGTCAAATCAACATTCAAACCAAGTCAAGTTACTCAGACACCATAACAACGTGCTTAAAAAATACATCTATTAGAGATGATATAAGATGGCCGATCCAGCTAAATTTAGACAGGCTGCACAAAATTTTCCTGCTCGATAGACCAGGCAATTTTAGGGGTGCAGCCTGGCTTTTGTATACCGTTTGGCCTTTATCCATAAGATTACCAGGTTTGAGCAGATTTTTAAGAGACGAAAAATGAACTATTTCTTTTGGCATCGGCGCAGCCTGAAACATGATTAGCTCTTTTTAAAGAATCTCACAAGCAGTAACACATTCATAGGCCAAAAATCTAAGGAATTAGTACGACAAAAAAAAAATTAAATTTAAATCAAGGTACTGAAATAGAATTGAGAAGGAAAGAGCAGAAGTTACCTGTGCACCAATTCCATATTCTCTTGAGTCAACCGGTAATCCTAGCTCCTCATTGGCTTCAACAGTATCACGACCAGCATCCTGCAGATTATATGCACGAAGCTTATGGCCCAAACCAATTCCCCTGCCTTCATGCCCGCGAAGGTAGACCAACGCTCCCCTTCCAGCAGCCTCTATTTGCTTCATTGCAAGTGCAAGCTGGTTTCCACAGTCACATCTAGCTGAGCCAAATATATCTCCTGTAAGGCATTCTGAATGAACTCTCACTAGGATATCTTGTCCATCTCCTATTTCTCCCTAATTATTGAGAAAAGAAAAATAAAAAAAAGATAATCAGTTGCGGAGCAGATAAGTTAGTCAAGCAAAAATCCAACGATTGTTCCCCAAGTGCTACTTGTGCTTATATTACCTGAATTCTGTAACATTTTTAGCGACATAATTATTTTCAAACCCAAGGATACATACCGAAAGACCTTAAGGTGAAAACAACAAGGCTAGCAAAAGGGCTGAGCATCTAGGTTTCCTTTTTAACATTTACATCCTTGAGTAAAACTAAAATGGGAATAGGATGAAAGAGATTAGTTACAATTGACCAAATCCAAATACTTGTATAAATTAACCCACCTTAACCATTGCAATATGCTCAATGCCATCCAGGTATGACTTGTAACAATAAGCTGTGAAAGGCCCCCACATTGTAGGGATCCTAGCAGCAGAAGAACGTTCAACTAATTGGGCTCTTTTTCTCCGATACCTGCAAATCATAACATCAACTAAATCATTTAACCAATTTTAGAGCCACCACTTTGCCTCAATATAAGAAAGACGAAAAGGAGATGCAGGTTTCATTCAAGTCCCCTAAACAAGGGAATGAGCTGTTTTCTGATTTTGTCATTGACAAAGAAACGAGGGAAAACAACATAGTTTTCAGCAACAATCTGCTAAGGTTAGCTTTTATTTCCAAACAAGCATCCTTTTTTTACCAGAAATGGAAGACTTCATACTAAAATTTTGGAAGAGTTATATCAACCACACCATCAAACATTAGTAGCTAAATAACAAGAAGCAAAGGCAGCTTACTTAAGGAGAAAAACCTGTCTTTGACCCTTTTATCATAGATTCATAGTCGCAGAAAAACCTTTTAGAATGTAATAGCAAAATAATTAAAGTTTATGGGCTCAAAAGTTGAAGAAGAGGTTTGAGAAAGAATGCCGTAGCAAAGTGACAAATAGCTTATGGGGTGAAAACCTGAAAATTAGGGTTAAAAGCATAGGGGAAAAAATGTATACACAAGTTATAGACTTTAAATAATGAAGATCTGGAAAAAGTAAGAAAATCAAGCTTGTGTTGGGAATACAAATGGAATTCTCACCAAGTCACCAGAATGTTGAGCTTCACCACCTAAGTTATTTTTAGTATATTCATCACTGTTGAGATAAGAGTAATTTAGATCTAGCCTGGTGCCCACAAATAATACACAAGTATACTGAATGAATGAGCCCCTTAACTTCTTCTTCTCCATTTGTTTTTTCCAAATTCCAATTGAATGAACACTCCTCAGTCATACTAATAATCTAACAGCTATGGGGGCTGTTTCCAAACACTGTCAAAATTCACCATGCGAAACAAATTTTACAACTCCAATTCCATCCCCCTGCTTAGCGGAACTTCTACCAGTTCCAGAGTGTACTAGTATCTAGCTACCAATAATATTAGAAGAAGAAAATAAATAACATCTGAATTCCTCTAACTAACACAAACAGCATGCCCTAATATGTCAGAATTTCTCATTTCTTCACAACAGTTTTATATAGATGAAGTCTAGATACATCAATAATTCCTGTTCTGCAATTATTCTTGACAGTAGATTTATGCTTAACCTTGCACATATTTACTAATTATTGATCTCTTCTCCAGAATATTCTAGTAAAGGCAAAAGAATACTCTGTTCAGTGCTCACCACCACAAGGTTGTTCCTAATCTCTAACATACAAGTCTAATTGGTTCTTTTGGTTTTTCTTTTCCCCCGCATGAGAGAGAAGCTGAAATGCAGAAAAATAAACTCTGTAATAAACTACATAGATTGGTATGAATTTCACTCATTGACCTTAGTCTCTTCTACATATGTGATATCAGTGTGATTCCACAAATAAAATGTGAAAATGGTAAGACACTTAAGTGCAATGATCCAGATAAAAATTAGTGATACAATACCTTATTAGATCTGCAATAGAGACTATTTTGAGGTTTTCCTTCTGTGCAAATTCACGAAGCCTAGGCAATCTAGCCATTGAGCCATCATCATCCACAATCTCACAGATAACTGCAACGGGATTTAATCCAGCTAACATAGCAAAATCAACAGAAGCTTCAGTGTGTCCAGCTCTCTTCAGAACACCGCCCTCTTTATACTTCAATGGAAAGATATGGCCAGGGCGGTTAAAGTCCTCAGGCTTGGAGTCCCTTGATGCCAGGGCCTTTACAGTAGTTGCCCGATCACGAGCTGACACACCAGTGGTCGTACCATGTTTTGCATCCTACAGATTTTCATAAGAATCCAAAGAAATCAGAAAATATGTGTTTTCCGAAACAGTATTTTCCCTTCAGTAAAGCCAGAAATATCTAGCCAAAACTCGAATGGAAGTTCTAGGAACAAGTTCGCCAAAGGTTGTTTAAACATGCAAAACCATACTGCATAGGAGTACATACCACTGTAACTGTAAATGCTGTGCAAAGTTTGTCCTCATTATCTTTGACCATGAGAGGAAGCTGCAGTCTTGCCAGATCATCTTCTTTCATGCTGACACAAACAATCCCAGTTCCATGCTTCACAAAAAAGGCCATAGCCTCAGGTGTTGCTAACTCTGCAGCCATTATCAGATCTCCTTCATTCTCCCTGTCTTCATCATCAACAACAATCACCATCTGCAACGTCACCAAGGCAACAGACACACCATTCAATCAGCACGTCATACCTAATCAACTACCTAAACAAGCACAAATTCTACACATATATGATATCTACAAACCCATCAGGGCCAAACCTTTCCTTGACGAACATCTTCAATAGCCTCGGCAATGGAAGAAAAACCTTCAGTTGGGCGATCTAAATCACACTCATCATTCTCTGCTGCAAACCCTGCAGAAGTAGGTGCAGTATCCGCAGAAAGTGCCCCCAAAGATACAGTATCGGCTTGCCTCTCAATTCCAAGGGATTGATCATTGTCAAGTGCATTTTGGTTCAACATACCATTGTTGTTGGAGTAAGACAATAAATCACCTTCTCCAGAAACAATAGCAGCCCTGGTTCTAAAATTTCCCTTGACTTTGTGCAATGTTTTATTCCCTAAACAAACCATGGCTAAATTCGATTTCAATCCTCCAGCCAAGCTAACCTTTGTGCTATACAACCCATTCCACGATTCATAGTTTTTACTAGCTCTACATCAAGAGAAATTCATCCTCATCATTTCATTATACGCAATAATTTAACACGAAAACAAATCAAGAACCTATGCTGCATTGGTCCAACAAGAGTATGTACCATGGTCCTACAAGAGTATGTACCCATATATCTTCAAATCAAATTTATAACAAACAATAAAAAAACTGACATGATTGCACAAGTTTAACTAGATCATTAAATATAAGCTAATTTCACCTTCATCCTCACTAGTTCACTACCAAATCAAATTAATTCGGCAAACGAATCGAAATCTAAACCCAGAATCTTTCACCCACCAAAAATTTCTATATCATCAACCAAATTCAGTCATATATCACTATATCAGCTCCTTGTACAAATTTCAACACACTCACAAATCACTAAACAACAGCAACCAGAAGTTAAAAAATTCCCGGTAATTCAATCATAAAATTAACCCATAAACAAAAAGACG